AAAAACTCGCACCCGATATCCAATTTAACATAAACTTTTAGTTTAACCATTAGTTGACTAGAGAATTGACCTTAACCATATTTTTGACTAATTTTAGAAGGATAAAATGATAAATTTACATTTTTTTAATAAAAAAACAGTTTTAATATATCAATAATTGAATAAAAAAATTAAACACAACACCCACCATCCCCTTCTTCCCTCAACCCCTTATTCCAAAAATACAACCAACGTGCCACCGCCACCCCATAATTATTAAACCATACCCAAAATTATTGAACTTTAAATCTCAATACACAGTATCTCTTATCATATCCACGGACAGAGCGATATCAAATTCATCAAAATCAAACTAGAGTAATCCAATGATAAAATCAAGAAAAGCCCAAAGTAACAGTAATTTAATTGAACAGATGTGATCCTTCACAATTGGAATTGATGCTCTAACGAAATTACTGAATCTAACTCCAACAGGGAGGATGAGCAGGAGGTTAGTGCGCTACTGCTTGAACGTGTTCAGCCACTCCATAAAAATTGCAGGATCCATTAGAAAAATTTGTTGTATATTCGACTATATTAGTAATTAGAGCAAATTTGCAGTAAAGTCACTTCTCACACCTTTTAATAGTGGGAACTTGGGTATCATATCTAGCATGAATCCCAAATAATCAAATTGCACCATTTTTTTGTGCAAAGTAGTTCCAATGCAACACTGTACTTTGTCCCATTGTGATGCAAAATGATGCATTGCACCAAAATGGTGCAAAGTGGTCAAAGTCCTTTTTTATCCTTTTCTTCTCATTTTCCTGTTAAATTGTGAAAATTCAGTGAACAAATAAAGAAGACTCGATGGGAACTTGAGTTTGGTGGCAGCAGACTTGAGTCATCTGTCCAGTTGGATGCATAGCTGGATTTTAGAATCTAGAAGAAGAATATTCCAGAAGAATTGCCAACTAATATGCTGCTGCATGGTTGGAGTTTGTTTTCTCATTCTGTTATTTTGTACAACAACTTGTATATAATTGTGTAGCATAGATTCTTTCTTTTCTCTATAAAAGGCAAAGCCATTGTACATTACACACTTGAGATGAATGAATACGAATGAAAGTTTTTCCTCCAAATATTTTTCTTCACATTTAATTTCTTAAATGGTATCAGAGCAGGCAATGACTGATTCAAATGATCCAAATACCACTCAAAGCAATACAAATACTACTCAAACCAGAAACACAAATTCTGATCCGTCACACCCAAGTAATCCCTTCTACATTGGAGCAAATGATAATTCTGGGTCTTTGCTTGTTCCTCATACACTTGACTCAAACAATTATCACTCATGGGCAAGATCCATGAAACGAGCACTCCGAATCAAGAATAAACTTGGTTTTATCGATGGAAGCATTTGTGAACCCACTGCTGCAGACAGTCTTCTCATGGAACATTGGCTTCGATGTAATGACATAGTAATTACTTGGCTACAAAACACCATGGCGCCAGATATCAAGAGAAGCACTCTATATGCAGACACAGCTTACCAATTGTGGAAGAAACTTGAGCAAAGATTTGCCCAGCACAACGCACCAAGAGTCTTTGAAATCAAACAGAACATTGCTAATTTAATGTAGGACCAGGACAGTGTGAGTGTATATTTTTCAAAACTGAAAACATTCCTAGATGAATTGATGAATCTATCCCCAGTTGTTCTTGTGGAGGATTGAAAGATGTGATTAATAACCAACAAAGAGACTGGGTTATGAAATTCTTAATGGGGCTTAATGATTCTTACAAAAATTTGAAGGCACAAATTCTTCTGATTAAACC